CAAGAAACTACCACACAGGAAAGACGGCCTCATTGGAACAAGCAGCCCCGCCCTGGGCACACACACCCAAATCCACCCAGAGGGCCCCTCACCCCCTTAAAGGAGGTCTGCATTGCTCAGAAGGAGACCCCACTCTTGGGGATAATCCCTTATTCCATAAGGAAACCCTCTCCCATCCTTGAGGAAGCTCTCCCTGATATTTCAAAGGAGGACAGGCTACATAATTTGTGGGACCCAATGCAAAAAGAAAATGTGGGGTTTCTTGTTTAAAAAAATCCCCCCCCCCAAAAAAAAAAGAGACAATAGAGCATTAAATCAAGCCCTGGGGTTTTCTCTTCTGCTACTGCACTGGCCATTTGCCAGGTAGCCGACCCTGTTTCGGAGACCCTTTCAGTGAAGGGATTGGCACCTCAGTCAGAATCCGTAAGTCCTTAGGACTTGTGGTGGATCCGACTATCCCTATTCGAGAACAAATCTTGGGACAACCTCCGTAAATTTGGAGTCACTTCCCTTGGCTTGGGCAGAGGCTCCCTTCGCACCCTCTAGTCGCAGGGTTGTTCTCCATTGCGCGCCCCAGCTCCACCTTCGGGGTGTGTGGGCCTCACCGCGTGCAGCCCATTGCCGGGGCAACCGACGCCACGAGCAGTGCATTGTGGTCTGCAACAAAATGCGGGAGAAAGATCCTGAGGGAACCATTGAGCCCATGGACCAATGGGAGAGCCCGAGGGACTGCTTCAAGCCAATAGGAGTGTTTGGTGGGGGCGGGGCTGGCAGAAGCAGGGCGGAGCCTAGGCACTAGGCGGCGCCGGCTGGTGTGGGGCTCCTTAGATGCGCCACGGCTCCGGTAGCGACGGCTTCTCCTGCTGGGTCTGAGCCTCTCCAGCCCCTCCCCCAGGAGACCGTTGTAGTCCGCCGGCCCCCGCTCCACTGTGAGAGACTTGGGGGCTCCGGGGTTGAGGGGGGCTGGCTACGCCATCTGGTTTTGTCGGCCGCTGGACTTCTCACGCCGTTGGGTCGGCGCGGCCCGCCCTCCCTGAGGAGAAGTGGGGTGGGGGGCGTCAGTCGGGGAGAGCGGAGCGGGCCGGGGGAGCGGGCGCGTCGCAGGCGTAGCCTACACCCGACCTCCTCATCCTTTGCTGGGCCTCATTCCTCAGGTAACCATGTGCGACCGAAAGGCAGTGATCAAAAATGCCGATATGTCGGAGGAGATGCAACAGGACTCGGTGGAGTGTGCTACTCAGGCGTTGGAGAAATATAACATAGAGAAGGATATTGCGGCCCATATTAAGAAGGTGAGGCTGGGGCAGGGGCGCGGGGCTCGGGCTAGTTGCTCGCTGCTGGCGGGAGTCACAACTTAGTTTCTTCTCCCGGGTCGCGCATCCCCAGAGCGCCTGGCAGAGCTCCTTGAGGGCAGGCAGGGCAGCTCGGGTGTAGAGGGTTCCAGAAAGAATGCAACCGAATTTTGCGCTCCTCTTGGGCAGACCAGAACCTCGGTGCCCCAAGTTTTTTTATTATCCAGCTCGGCGGGGGAAAGCGCCACCTAGCAACGGTTTCTAGGATCAGGGAGCAGCGGTTCCCCCTTCTGCACGATTCCTGCGCGGAAGATCCATCTGGGTGTTCCGGAGGGGGGAGCTGCGTGGGTGTATCCAGCCAGCCGGGAGGGAATTCTTGCCAGCCTTCCAGTGGGGAGTTTAGTCGGCGGTTGAAAGTGGGTGGTGGTGGTGGTTGGGGGGCTTGGTAAATGAGTCTGTAGAAAGCTGGCAGGACTGCCAACTTCTCCTGCTATGCTTTCTGGAAGGGAAGGAAACTGGCAGCCTAAGCCGTGAGAGGGTTCCAGTCGAGAATGGGAAGATGAAATACTTCAGATGGAATAGAAATAAATACCTTTTTTTGACAAGCGCAGTAAGAATGTTATGTTACAACATAAGAATAGCCAAACTACAGACTTGTCATAGTTTTATAGGTAAGCATTAGCTTTGGCCCGTCTGCAGTCACCTAGTTAAGAAATTAACACGGGCATTCTAGTTACTCCCCAAGCCTCTTGGGGTGGGGAAAAGTGTTCCTGCAACTTGCTATCCTTGCGGACCAGGTATTAATCAGCATCAAGATAGATATGAAAAGGGAGGGCTATTGAAATTGTAATTAAGGATAAAATTTGACCAGGTGGCTGTCAGCTTCAGCTTCCAGCATTCTCTTCATAGGAGCAGTGACGTGTTAAGTGTCCTGTTTCTTTAAATTGAAATTTTGATCCTTGATGGTGTAGATGCTAATAGACACTTTGTCCTTTTGGAAGTCTTTTGTTACCAAGGATACTGGAGTGCAGTTGAATGAGTTATAATGGGGTATTTTAGGTTAAATAGTTACCATTTCCTTGGATTTGAGGGTGCATGACATACAGGAGGAGTGTTTAATTCTGTTTACACATAAGAACACGATAAACTAGAACTGTTGATGACACCTGCTATCAGTGAATATTATAGAAGTTATGAAGGTGGAATTACCATGATAACAAAGGGCCCTGTCTTTGAGGCTCCCTTTCCTAGCTTAGCTCAGATTGCAAGTATGTTTGCATTAATGCACTATGTAGGCGACTTGGAGCTGGAGAACATTCTTTCATTCTAAGAATTTGCAGATGCTAACGTTCCTCCTCTCTGCCCTGGCAGGCTCTGACCTTTGATGTAGCACTAAAATTTTAGTGTTCTTTTTCTCCCCTCTCCCTCCTCCCAGGAGTTTGACAAGAAGTACAACCCCACCTGGCACTGCATTGTGGGGAGGAACTTCGGTAGTTACGTGACACATGAAACCAAACACTTCATCTACTTCTACCTGGGCCAAGTGGCCATTCTTCTGTTCAAATCTGGTTAAAAGCATGGACTGTACCACACACCCAGTGATCCATCCAAAAATAAGGATTGCAGCCTAAATTCCAAATACCAGAGACTGAAATCTTCAGCCTTGCCTAAAGGAACACCTTGATCTTGAACCTTTATTGTGTTGTTTTGTACAGGGCATTCTCTGTACTTATTTGTTGTGGTTATAAAGCAATTAGTAAAACAGCTTACATTTGTATTTATTTTCTATTCCATACCTCTCTGCCCCATGTTTTTCCTCAAAATCCATTCCTTTCCCAAAATAAAATTTGTTGGTGAACTGTGTGTTAGTTACAATTTGTTTATTTACAATTTGTTCAACTAATCTAGGGTTGAAGGTGGCCCATCGGCATCTACGTTCGTGGGGGTGAGTCCTTGAAGTTTCTGTGGAATAAAGTAGACTAGCCTTTTCTGTACTTTTGAGTCTAATTCTCTTGCATCTGCAACTGTTATGCACGATAGAAGACTACTCAGAAGTGCACGTCAGAGAAACTTTTGAATTAAAGTCTTATTCCTAACCTGATAAGTACTGTCTTTAAGTGCTCATTTTGTTCAAAGATGTTGCTATAGAATGTTCTGGGCCTTAGGCCTAAGTGCTGGTGATGAATGGGTAGTAGAACTCCTTTATATAAGCTTTCTATGGCTGTAAAATGGAAATTAGCTGATAACTAACTTGGGCTAATGAGAAATTTGGTCTCTGGGGTACCCCTTCTCCCCTGCCAAGCCCCAAACGGATACTGTAAAGATTAAAGCTGGCTTTAAAGGGAAAAAGTTTTTTGAGCAGCAGCCCTCCACGTGATTCTTATAAAGTCTTTTCAGGAATTTAAATGTGTAAGCCTGCTGTGCTACGCTTTAACCTGCTGTGGTCAGAAACCCAATTAACAAAGGTGAATTGAAGTTTTCCTTAAAAGACCCAATTAAAGTTAGATAAGTATAGCCTTCATTAAAGGTTTCCTGCTATCCATTTTAGAGAGAAGCAAATATGGCAGACTTGTAGGTACAAAGGAAACACTCAAGGCTGAAACAATCCACACCCATCTTGGGAAGTTGTAAGGAAGGTCCTGGTTTTCTAGTTACCTTACACTCATGCGTTAAGGCTTCACATGAGTTAAGGCTTTAATTTTAAATCTTGGATCTGTGAGATAAAATTAGGATTTCTGAGCAACCAGGTTATTGCTACACAGAAGGGGGTGGTAGATTTTAATTGATAGGTGATGACTCCATCTTAAAAGCAGTATTAGGTCTGTAACACCTTTGGAAGATTGTTTTTCTTTACCAGAACTTGGGGAGTTTTAGGAGTCCTAGTGAAGTTGAGCTATGTTAGGACTGGGGACATTTTCACTGTTCATATAAATACAAGCAGCTGGACATTAGGGGTTCTGACTTGAATAGGCCCTTATCTACTGCCAGGAAGTGGCAGCTTTTAACTTATTTTTTGATTCAGATGTGAGGAGACCACATTGCTGTGGAGCTAGGACTGGGTTGATGGTTTATGAAGTTCCCTCCAGTGCCTGCTCCTTGTTAATGTTAAAGGCCCATAGGCTCCCGCTGGCTGGTGGTTGAGTTTTTCTAAGGTTTAGCACTTTTGTTAAGTGCTCTTAGTTGCTGTCTTTGAGATAGTTGCATATAAATAGCTGTATCTGAAAGCTTTTTAGTGATGGCAAGATCTTAACGAGTGAAGGTACATAAATGACCCCTACTGGTCCTGGGACAAGAGGCAGCACATCTGAAGCCTTTTCACATAGCCCTGAACTAAGTTATCTACAATTAACAAACCTCCAGCCAACTCATAGGTTGGGTTCTGCAATTTCTTAGCAAAACCCTGAAGCTTTATCCACATAAAAAACGGGGCCTCATTTTAACATCGATTACTATGTTAAGTATACAAGAGCTCTGCCCCAAGAGCCAGAGGGGTTTAGGCTAGATAGTTTTCAAACTTTTTTTGCTATAAAACCCTTTCTTCAAATATATTCTGATGAAGAAGATCTCTAAGATAAAAGCAGAAGTTTGCTATTCTTTTGAGGATTTGTTTTCTTCATGACAGGCACGGAGGGCACAATAGTGGCTTTTGATAGAAAAGCATTAAGTGAATGATGACAGATGCACTTCCCTCAAGAAAAACATCACAAATGCGTTACAAATTGTAAACTCATTTAGTGGTTCAGTACATAATTCTGCTCATGATTGTTAGCTGTCTGATGGGCCTTGGCTTTTGGCCCTCAGCCAGGCCTAGGCTAAAGGGAGACTCAGGTACAGTTAGGAAGTTTTCTGGTTCAAATCACTAGATTCAAATGATTCACTGTCCCTTTGGGAGCACCAGCAGAGAAACTACAAACGCACTTCAAACTGAGCTTTAGTGCGAGTTTTACCTTAACCACACACTGTACAGCTGAGAGAAAAATAGCAGGAACTGAGCAAAAAATAAAGGCACAATACCTCAGGGAGAAGGCCTGAAGCAGTTCCTAGTGAAAGCTGAAATAAAGTGACAGGAATTTGTTTCTTCCACTTTGAGATTGGTCATATGAGGACATGAGTCCAAGGCACATATCCTTAAGAGGAGATGTTCTGTTGCTGTTGTCACTATCCTGATTATCCTTCAGCTGCAGGCTTTTGACAGGATGTCAGTGGTTCATGCTCCAGGATGGTGAAGGAGTTATAGTTTGAAACCAGAGTGAATGGCCACAATGCCTGATGTTAGACTTTCATAAGTCACCTTCTGAAACCCTGCGTCTTCTACCATCTCCTTGAACTCCTCCTAAAACACAAAGGGAGATAACAGCAAGGATCACCTGGATTTCACCTTTCAGGCCTTTGTTGTACGCTACAGAAGTTTTGTACCTGAGATGGGAACCGTCGAATACTCTCTACAAGGTATTGGTAGGACTTCCAGTCTCCTGCAACAACCTCTCCCAAGACAGGAATGACCTGGAAGCTATAGAGATCATAAAGCCTAAACAAAAAGGCAAAAAATTAAGGTTAGGACATGCCCCTTGGTAAGAAGCAAGAAGGTCTAAGCCTAGGGTCATAAACTCAAATGCCTATAGGGGTCAAGCAAGTACCTCAAATGAGTCAGGTGCAAGATCAGTAGGAAGCAGTGAGGATGTGGTGATAGGTACAGTTAGGAAGTATCATAAAAGTGGAGAAGGGGTAGTTCCTACCCAGCTCTGACTATGGCCATGTGGGAATACGGTTTACCCACAGTTGCCATATTATCTGCTTTCTCAAATGAAGCTGGAAATCCAGATTTTTATGTAAACTTTTCTGATTTTTAAATATGGACAACTAAGTCAACTTCAAATGCCAGGACTCAAAATCTGTGGACAGACTGAAACCTTTGGTTGCTGGTTTGAGACTCTTCTGGCCTCGATGCTGTCATTTAGGAGTGGCTGACCTCTGAGGTGGCACTATCCTTCAGGGAGCCAGTCTGTGAAGTTCATGCGTATTGCTTCCTGGCTACTTTCTGTCCATTTGGAGATGGGAACCCTTGGCTAAATGATGAGAACCAAGCCCTGTTGACAATGCCAACCTGGATACAACCGGATTATTCACTTGGCTAAACTCCAGGCAGAGAAACCGTCCTCCTGGTTTCAGGACCCGATGGGCTTCCTGGAGTGCCTGAGCAAGAAAAGGAACAAAAGCACACATTCCTCAGCAGACTCACTCAATTCCATGAGGCCGAGACAGCTATAGCCTCTGTGGGCATTATAAAAGTTATAATTTCCCATTGACTTTCTTCACTCTCAGTTGGGAAGCTGTAACAGCAGAAATAACCCTACAACATCCTAAATTTTATAGGCCTTCTGCTGCTCGTGAACAGAAGGTTACCTGGAGTAATCCAAACTGACTCAGGTTGCTACAGTCCCCACTAAGGGCAATTTTTGAATTATCAAAATCACAATGCATCTCCTCTTCGATTAAGCAATTTTATGTTAAGGAATCTATCTTACAGAAATGCTTCTACTATGGAAATGACATGCAGCACTATTTGAACAGCACAAGATTAGAAGCCTCTTAACCATCAATGAGAGACTGGTTCAATTATGGAACATCTATACAAATGGAATCTACGCAGCTATTGCAAAAAGGAAGAGCCATGTTCTTTATGTACTGATATGGAAAAATCTCTAAGATATATTTTTGAGGAAAAAAGCAATGGGAAAAATGTTTCATATGTTAATATTTGTATGAAAAAGGAAAAAAAGTACATGTAATTTGCACAAAACATCTTTGTGCAAGATTTGCTCTATGATTTTGGTCCCTATCAATTTTGTGAGTACGAATATTGGCAACTTAAAGGAGGGAGACCTCTGAAACAGTCATTCCACTCAAGGGCTGAAGCCAAAAAAGAAACTCTCCATCTTTCTTCAATCACTGTGGAGCCACTCCAAAACTAATCTCTTGAGATGCAGCCATTCGTACCCGATCCATGTGTGTCACATTCCGGATCCCAAAGGCAATGGTGTAAACATCAAACTTATCATCATCGAAGGGTAGTTCTTCAGCATTTCCCAATACCCAAGCAAGTCCTGAAAGAGAAAATTTATTTTCATCTCAGTCTGGGTAGCTGTCTCTTATGCACACATGGTTTCAGTTACACAGTCAGTAAAAAAAACTAATGAATGCACGCAAAATTGACAAAGAAGAATGTCACAATGTTGTGCTACATGCAAAAACATTAGAAAAAAATGAAAGATCAGTTGGTTGTTGGTTCTGTAAATTGGTTATGTGAATCAAGAAACATCCATCTGGGGAAATACCATAAAAAATAATGATTTTAAGGAATTTTTAATGACATGGAAAAGTCTCATAATGAATTAAGGCAGAATACAGGGTGTTCTCAATTTTCTAAAAAAAATATTAGAAAAAAGATAGGAAGGAAATCTAAAATATTGAAGAGTATCTCTGAATGTTGGAATTATGAGTAACATTTACTTTCTTCTTAATACTTTTCCCAAATTTTGAATTTAGAAATCCAAAATTTCTCTTAAGCATATCACTTTTAGAAACCAACAAATAGTCTAAGGCTGCTGCCCTCAGAGCTTCCATTTGGGGAGAAAGTGCTACACATAAACATAAAAAAACACACAAAAAAACATGTAACAGTGCTAAACATAAAAATACCATTACGTATCAACTTTTACATTTATCAAATAATTTCTAGGATCCTCCTACTTAGTTTCAACTATTTTTGCATGGTATTTTTTGTAAAGCCATTATTAGTGGAGATTGGTAAAGCGAGGAGGGAAGATAAAAGACAATTGTACTATCCGGCATTTAATGATTCCTATGCAGGTGGGTTTATCTTGGCAGTTAGGAGAGCCTGAAGGGCAAGCTCTGCTACAGAAGAGATGATTCCAGAAATGGAACATTACTTATCGTTTCTATCTTTGTTCGCCATTCTTTATGGCTGAGTACCAGAGAGAAAGGAAACAGATTTTTTCAGTAGGAGTAAGGAAACATAGTGCCTTTGTCTAAAAACACTAGTGACTGTCTGCCTTCTGGTCGGTGTTGATGGTTAACAAAAGAGCCCTTCATCTTGGGGGCCAAGTGGGCTGCCCTTGGTGTAGGCAGCTGTTCTCAGGGTGGCAGGAGGAGGAGAGAGAATTGAGTTAAAATGACCACAGACACTCCTGCTGGGGGAGGGAAGGAGAGAAGTGCTGGTGTTGGCCCGAGCGATTTTTGTTTTCGTCGTTGTAACCACTGCCTCTCCCAGTGGCTGTCTACAGTGCTTGGCCAGCACGGGAGAGGGCAGAGCAGCGGCTCGGGAAAGCTGGGTAAGCATGGTGCAGCTGCCAGGATCATTGCTTCTACTTGAAGAAATTGGGTGGGGGGAAAGTTGTACTTCGAAAANCATCATCGAAGGGTAGTTCTTCAGCATTTCCCAATACCCAAGCAAGTCCTGAAAGAGAAAATTTATTTTCATCTCAGTCTGGGTAGCTGTCTCTTATGCACACATGGTTTCAGTTACACAGTCAGTAAAAAAAACTAATGAATGCACGCAAAATTGACAAAGAAGAATGTCACAATGTTGTGCTACATGCAAAAACATTAGAAAAAAATGAAAGATCAGTTGGTTGTTGGTTCTGTAAATTGGTTATGTGAATCAAGAAACATCCATCTGGGGAAATACCATAAAAAATAATGATTTTAAGGAATTTTTAATGACATGGAAAAGTCTCATAATGAATTAAGGCAGAATACAGGGTGTTCTCAATTTTCTAAAAAAAATATTAGAAAAAAGATAGGAAGGAAATCTAAAATATTGAAGAGTATCTCTGAATGTTGGAATTATGAGTAACATTTACTTTCTTCTTAATACTTTTCCCAAATTTTGAATTTAGAAATCCAAAATTTCTCTTAAGCATATCACTTTTAGAAACCAACAAATAGTCTAAGGCTGCTGCCCTCAGAGCTTCCATTTGGGGAGAAAGTGCTACACATAAACATAAAAAAACACACAAAAAAACATGTAACAGTGCTAAACATAAAAATACCATTACGTATCAACTTTTACATTTATCAAATAATTTCTAGGATCCTCCTACTTAGTTTCAACTATTTTTGCATGGTATTTTTTGTAAAGCCATTATTAGTGGAGATTGGTAAAGCGAGGAGGGAAGATAAAAGACAATTGTACTATCCGGCATTTAATGATTCCTATGCAGGTGGGTTTATCTTGGCAGTTAGGAGAGCCTGAAGGGCAAGCTCTGCTACAGAAGAGATGATTCCAGAAATGGAACATTACTTATCGTTTCTATCTTTGTTCGCCATTCTTTATGGCTGAGTACCAGAGAGAAAGGAAACAGATTTTTTCAGTAGGAGTAAGGAAACATAGTGCCTTTGTCTAAAAACACTAGTGACTGTCTGCCTTCTGGTCGGTGTTGATGGTTAACAAAAGAGCCCTTCATCTTGGGGGCCAAGTGGGCTGCCCTTGGTGTAGGCAGCTGTTCTCAGGGTGGCAGGAGGAGGAGAGAGAATTGAGTTAAAATGACCACAGACACTCCTGCTGGGGGAGGGAAGGAGAGAAGTGCTGGTGTTGGCCCGAGCGATTTTTGTTTTCGTCGTTGTAACCACTGCCTCTCCCAGTGGCTGTCTACAGTGCTTGGCCAGCACGGGAGAGGGCAGAGCAGCGGCTCGGGAAAGCTGGGTAAGCATGGTGCAGCTGCCAGGATCATTGCTTCTACTTGAAGAAATTGGGTGGGGGGAAAGTTGTACTTCGAAAAATTAAAACAAACAGAAAGCCGAATGTAAAATGCACATCTTTTTTTTTTTTTCTTAACAGANAATTAAAACAAACAGAAAGCCGAATGTAAAATGCACATCTTTTTTTTTTTCTTAACAGGCTGAAATAAACGCTTCTAAAATGTACATCTTTAAGCTAGGCCACAAATTGTTCATTTTGTGGTTGCAGTGGCTTCCTGGAGATATGGAGCCACTCTCCCATCTGCTGTTGAGAGTACTGTGGTTTAGGAGTTCAGTAAGTGCTCACTTAACATTGTCGATAGGTTCTTGGAAACTATGACTTTAAGTGAAATGATGGATAACAAAATCAATTTGACCAGAGGTTAACTGATATAAACAAGTGTTAAGTTCCTATAGCATCTTTCTGGTCACAAAAACATCACCCAACTTCTATAGGAAGACTCAAAACCCTTCTAATATTAAACATTGAAATAAATGTGAGCTATAGATACGTTTAAGAAAGATTAGTAAAAACAAATCAGAAAAATAAATGTCCTACCCAGTTATTCCAGTTCAGAGTAGCTGGTGGCCAGAGCCTCTCCCGGCAGCTCAAGTTGAAAGGTGAGACTAACCCTGGACAGGAAGCCCTTCCATCACAGGGTGCACTCACACCCCCCCACACTCACTCAGACTGGGACAATTTATACAGGCCAGTTCGCCTCACGTGCACAGCTTTGGGATGTGGGAGGAAACTGGAATACCCAGAGAAAACCCACACAAACATGAGGAGAACATGCCAACTCCACGCAGACAGTGGCCATGGCCGGGAATCAAATTTTTTTTCTTTCTCATCAACATTATAACAAAATGACATTGAACAAACAAAAAAATCACGTTATTCTAGGATCTGCTGTACTGTTTATGGGTGTTTCTTCAACTGTATCAGTTGGGACCTTCTAAGAAACTGATGCTGAGACGGAGTGCAAAGAGTTGCTTTGTTTTGTTTTGGGGGGGCACCTGGGACAGATAAAAGGATGAAGAAGCAGGACTGGGTGGGGAAACCTGTCAGTCTTAGATGCAGATCAGATAAAGCCTCAGCCTATCTGGAGCAAAGACTGCCTATTAGAGTCCTGCTTGGGAACTCTCCAGGCCCTAGCAGCCCCCTAGTGCTCTGCCCTCAGCGGGGTGCTGCCAGGAAAGAGCCTGGCTGGAAAGCTGGGGCAGGCCTACAGGTGCTAAGAGCTGGAGGCTGTCAGCTAACTACACTCCTGCAGCTGAAGGGCAAGTCCCTTCTTTGAGGACAGTGCACCTGCTCGGCTTCCACATCAATCACACCATCCTAGCACTAATGGGAATGGAGTGGCTCAAGATTAGGATATTTGGGGTCATCGGGGAGCTGCTGGGGACTGAAAACAAAATTTCTGTCTCAGAGTCCAGGAGCTCCGAAGGCTCAGCTCCAATTCGAGACCTGCCATTTAAGTTGTGTTACTTAAGTAAGATATGTAACCTTTTTGGGCTTTGGTCATCTCCCCTGTCACAGAGGGCTGAAAATCTAACTCCCTGGATTGCTGAAATAATGCACATAAAACCCCACGAACTGGATTCACCCACACAAATGATCTTCAATTCCTACCTAGCTGTCAGTTTTTGAAAGCAGAAGAATAAAGTACTTTAACATTTCCCATATTCTATCTTATTTTATAAACATGTAAACATTCCTCTGTGTGCTCTCTGTAGGACTTGCCAGTTTTGTATCCTTGAGCAGAGGCTCTCTGCTTTCCAATCTTCAGCATCTCCTTGTTGATGTCACAGACCACGACGTGGGAACTGCCCAAGGAATCCTCCTCATTCTGGTACTTCCGGGCAATTTCTTCCCAGGATAAATTTTGCTGGGCCCTTAACTGCCTCTTCTGCTTTCTCTGATGCTGTGCCTGAATATAATTAAGGAACCGGAATGCGATGTCACCTGTGGGAAGCCAACAGGAGGAAAGATGGAAACATAAAAGCAAAGCCCAAAACCCAGCATTTCCTAACTCCAAAAGGGGTAACAAAGGTATAGGAGTTGAGGAGTGTATGGAAATCAAGTTTGTAGTCATCTCCACAGTAACTTATTTTTCAACCTCTAAGATTCTTTAGAAAACTTTTTTTAAAAATTGCATAAGTAACGCATGGACATATTCTTGCTATAAAAGACTCAGTATCTCAATATATAGAATAAAGCATAAAAGTCGCATTCTCTGTTCATACCTTCTCCAGACATAAGAGCTTAGTGTACAGCCTTCTACTCTTTTTAAAATAACTTTTATGAAAGAAACATACGGGTATAGTTACAAGCAACAATTCCCTGCCCCACCACTTCTCACTCCCAGTTCAGCTCCCCAGAGACCATTTTTCTCAACTCTTTTAGCTGTTTCTTCTATAGGTTACAGCTATTTCTTTACTTACCAAATTTATAATAATGATATCCTGTCCCCCATCTGTGCTTGCCTCTATCTTCTCAATATATTCATAGTTCCTCATAGTTCCTTTGTAACCCAGAGTAATAAACTAATCAATATTTTATTTCTTATTCTATCAATTACAAAAGGTATCTCTGACTCCCTTTAACCGTCCATCCTATGTACTTTTACTCTGTCAAGACTGGTAATATATTATTTGTTTTACAGCTAGAATTAAGCCTTCTGCACTTTGTTGATAGTTTGAATCTAAAAGCTGAAAAATCCAAGTGTTTACATTACTATGACCAGGTAGATACTGTTCGGGCAAAGCCAGTGCTTTCCGGGATCACATGTCCTTTCTCATAATGCTGTTTCCTTGTCTTTGTTTTTCTTACACTATTTGTAAGAAACTCATCCTTATGTTTTTCCAGTCTCTCCATCCAATCAGGTATTCTCCAGTCACTGTTTTACATATTTAAATACATTTATATGGACTCATATGAAACAACTTTAAAACATAAGTGGGGATCATGTTATACACACTGTTATACAACTATTTTCTTTTTCTTCCCATTTAATGTCTTTGAGACTTTCCCACCAGTATTTATAGGTTTTCTTCCCCCTCACTCTTTAAATAGCTACATAATAGCTCATGGAATGGATGTATCTTAATTTAAAGCCTTTTCTTAATTGAGGGATAAATTGGTTATTTCTAATATTTTTAGTATTACTAAAAATGATACAGTGAGCACATGTGTAGTTATATCTTCTTAAAATGTCTTTTTAAATATATGGGATTACCTTTAATTATGTTTTCTAAATGTGTAGTTGGCAGCATGAAGTAATGCTTCTGGTTATGGTACACCGGAGATGTAGGCAGCTCTGGGACATTTCTGTAGCTTTATCTTTGTGCCAGTTTTTTTTTTAGACTTGATATCTGGAATTGGAATTGTGGCGTCCTACTACAAGCATTTTAGATTTTGATAGATTCTGCTCTACTGTCCTCCACTGAGCAGGATTCTTTTTACTGCCTTCTAAGATTCCATTTGGGGAAAGGAGGACACCAACAAAGCCACATTTGTTTCAAACATGGAGATTAGTCTCCTATAATTTATTACACATTATTCTGTTAGTATAATTATACTATTGTATTATATTACACATTATGGTAATTTAACATGTATAATAACCATGTAAGGATATCACCAAGATGCATTTTATTTTTTTTTATTTTTAAAATTTTTTTAACATATCTTTAGTGATTTCAGAGAGAGGAAGGGAGAGGGAGAGATAGAAACATCAATGATAAGAGAGTCATTGATCTGCTGCCTCCTGCACGCCCCCGAATGGGGACTGAGCCAGCAACCCGGGCATGTGCCCTGACCAGGAATCAAACCTCGATCTCCTGGATCATAGATCGATGCTCAACTCTCTGAGCCATGCCAGTTGGGCTTACCAAGATGCATTTTAGAAACACATGGTATTTTCCCCCCAAATGTCTAGGGTGCACCAAGAAACAAAGGAACATGCAAAAACAATTGGGCTTTTGATATCTGATGTGACGATGGATTTAGCAAAAAAGGCTGCCTAGAAAGCTTATGTAATATGATAAAAGGCACCCCCACACCCCCCCAAGAAAGAGATTAAAGTGGGTCAAAGGTTAAACAAAAGGTAAAATTCATTTAGATGGTAAAATGTCACTGGAGTAAAAAACTGGTCTTTTCACTTTGTAATCCTGTGCATTTTAGAGAAGTGACAGGCACAAAGCTGATATTCTGTGCTTTTGATTGACATTCAGTTAAAAAGAAAAGAGTAAATCTTTCTTAGAAGCATACTGATTTTCATCTACCATCCTCAGGCTAATGGTAGGTAAGGTAGCTCATTCTAACAAGAGACACTAATTTCTGTAAAAGGTGCTCAAGGGTACCTGAGGATACTAACATGGACATTACCTGTGCCTCCAGCAACATCGAGTAGCTGGGTTCCAGGAAATGGGTGCATTTTCCAGAGCAGGAAATCCTTCCAAAAACGATGGATACCAAGAGTCATCATATCATTCATCACATCGTACTTCTTGGCCACACTTTCAAACACCTGATAGACTGACATGGGAGAAACACAACACAATTGTGCTACTGACAAGATTAACTTGGGAAAGTCCTAAATGAAAGAGAAGGAAGCTTCCCCTACCCCTGAAATTGCCTCTTTCTAAGGTGAAACTAAAGCATAATGCTTAATGCCCAAATCCACACCTTAACATTGCCTCTTTTAAAAAAGGTTTATTTGGTGGGCAGATGGATGGCAAAATGTGAATCAGGGTCAAGTTACATTGTAGAGGGTCCTCATGAGTCATCTCCAGAGGATCAATGCAGAATGTGAACTCTGGGCTAGCTGGAAAGAGAAGGAATTTACTATCCAAGACACTTTAAGGTGCAGGCTATATTTAACTTCTTTGCACCTCAGTTTCTCTGCCCATGAGATAAGAAAATCAGTGCCACCTCCCTACTTCCTTGCCATAGGCTGACCTAGGTAGTGAAGGGGAGATGCTTTGAGTTCCTCAGATGAAATGTGCCCCATAGATCCAAAACATTACTGCCCTCTGCTGAATCAGGGACCATAGAGCTCCACCTTGAACTTGATCTTGAATGCCAATTCTCAACCCTGGGCTCTGCAAGCTTGCTCTTTTCTTTTGAACATCTTTGGGAAATTGAGGGACACAGGCTCAATTCACTGAGTATAAGCACGCCTAGCTTTGCATGGTTCTGATATGCATGAATTTTAGTTACTGTGGTTTTAGTTAAATAACACCAGTCCCCCAACAACATCTTTCAAATACAATGGCATGTTAACTGTGAGTAATTGCATAAAGTACAAACTTCACTAGTGTAAATAACAGATATACATCATGATCAATAACCAGTCATGTCACTTCTTTTACAGTTTGTAAATGGTAGGTCACTATACATCAGTTATTCAGTTCACACACAGCAAAGCATGTAGTTGTGTTATCTCCTTGTCTCTGTTGTAAACACGCGGTATTTTACAAACTGGATAATTAAGAGGAAATTGGCCAACAAAAATGGAAGTGCAGAAAAAATATGAAAAGTGATAATGCTGGAAGTGAAATTTAAATAAAATGTCAATGGAGTTATAGGAGAAGCCACTGACGGTGGGGTGGGAATGTTGATAGTGCTGCCACTCGAGAGACTTTGTAAGATGAACTTATGGGCATAAATGAGGATGTGGTCGTGATGAAAACATTGAAGATGTCCCAGAGGAAGTGATGCCAGCAAAAGATTTCACATTAAAGGAATTCTTGGAGATATTTCATGACATTGAAAGTGAAATGATAAATATTAGAAACTGATTGAAACTTAGAAAGGAGTATGGCAATTTGCGAAGGCATAGGGAAGATGCTCACTCCCTACTGTAAATTATATGATGTTCAAATGACTCTTGGTAAATTTTTCCCAAAGGAATAAAACAACTTAATTCTCAACGTTTCTAATTTTTTATTAGAATTTCAATTAAAAAATTTAAACTTAAAATTAAAAATTCTAGTTACATTTATTACATTAAAATTAAACCTAACTTATAATTAGTGGTTAAAGAAATATTTACTGTTTTTTCATTTCTCTATACATTTATGACTGACACTAAAAGTTTTGGATGTTCAATAATTTTTTAAGGTCATGGAATAATTATAATTTTCCCCATTGATTATTAAGATCATTGTGCACGATTTCAGCTTGCACGGTCATGTTTACCATCCTGCATACTGTGCAAAGGGAAGACTGCCGGTATTTCACTCTTGGGTCTCAAATCTGGAAGCTGTATTTAGCTGAATGGGTAACCCCTCCCCCTACTTGTCATTGTGTGAAATATTTACATATTGTAAAGCAAAATACAGAGGTTAGGTATTATTAATATTTTGGAAGCAACCCACCTGATTCATATGCCAGCTGTGCAGCTTACTAGCGAATCTCGGGCAAGTGACTTAATATTTCTGTTTCAACAGTTTCTTCATCTATAAAACCATTGGGTTGTATTTATAAGAATTAATGTAAGGTATCTTAAGCAGTTTTAGGCTCTCAATAAATGTTTACTACTATTTAACTTGGCTCCACTTATTTCATTCCACAAGCAGTTATAAAACTCCTAATGCACATCAGGCACTGAGGATAGAAACATGAATGAGCCACTGTCCTAGCTTTCTGGGGATTCACAGTAAAATAAGCGTTAACTGAAATTCAGTATTCAAAGAGTTACAGTAGAACTAAACGTTTAGTAAGGTTGAGGTGAGAGGTAATACACTGTAGTCGTCTTTAAGAAGGTGGGAAGTTCCACTGTAGACTCTTTTTCTTATTTCCTGGGTGACCACAGGCTAAGTGAAGGAACCTCTCAGAGCCTCACCTTATCCATCCATAAAATGGGCATAACAGCTTCACCATTATAAATGGTACAGTTGGAGTTTTAAAATTGTTCTTTCCTTTCCCATGCCTGTGGCACAATGCCATACTCAAAGAAACTCCTCAGTAATATCTAATTGTACTGTTACCCAGTGTCAGGCATTGTGCAAAATAATTTTAATGTATGAAGTAATCTAATCCTCCCAAGAACTCTAAGAAAAATGTTACTACTATTCCTACTTGGCAAACTTGGAAGCTGAGGTACAGAAAAGACTTCTTTTTTCCTTTCTATCAAAAATGACCTACCCCTTTGGCAAGAGGTTAAGAACATGCTCTCTGTAGTCAGACCAAAGTGAACTGGAATAATGGTTCCACCACTTACTACGTTAAATCGGACAAGTTCTTGCTTAACCTTTAAGTCTCAATTTTCTCACGTGTAACATGGGGAAAACAATACCCACCATTAAGAAGCTGAAATGAAAACGGGTGCCTGGCATGTTATAAACGCTAAATTGATGGAATTTAGAGGTAATTGCTCTGCTTAAAAAGAGGAGGCGTCCAAGCTCTGCAGGGTCAGGCTGGGGGGTGGGGGACTCCTTGGACGTCGGGGCTGCACAAGCTACAGCACCGGAGCTAACATGACAGGACATTAAATCGACCCTTAGCAAGGCAGAAGCAGCCAGATCGCAGACGGTCAGATCCCTCCATCCGCCCTCTTGCCCCTTTCACCTTTGTTTCCTTTCTCTTCTTCAGATACAACTTCAAACCCGAAGTGCGTTTCCGTTGCCCGCTTCTCTTGGGTCAAAAGCCGCGCGCCCAGCGGACTCCCGGGCCAGGAGCTACGAGGCCCGGGGAGCCGGCAGTCCCGCCTCGCCCGCGACCACCCACGGCCGTAGTAGCCCCATAGCGCGCAACCCCTGGGGGCCGCCATCTTGACAGTCCGCTGACAGCTGCGGGATAATACGTCACGTTGCGTCACCAGACGGCCTACGGCGGCCGGCCGGAGACAGTATTAGCCGAACGCGTCCTGAAATCTGATGCCTAGGAGCTAGCTCTGCTTGATTTCTGGAATCGGTGTCGACTTAAGTCTTTGAGCCCCCGAAATCCTTTCTTTCTCTTCCCAAACGGAACACACAATTCGCCAGGAATGCGCGGACCTTCGGGAGAGCCCCCAATCACCTCTCAGCCGCCACGTCTCTGAATCTTGCCGACCAGCAGTACCAGTACCAACTCGCCAGATAGCCAATCACTCTTGTTTTCTGGTGAAGCTGGTGGGGAACTGAGAGGGACAGGGTGGCGAAAGGCTAGGATTACAGGAAACGGTGGTGTGCCTAAGAATCACCTGGTTTGTTCTTTAACATGCAGGTTGCCAGGCCCCCAATCCTAGAGATTTTGAATCAGTACATCTGAGATGGGTTCTGGGCATCTTTACATGACCAGACTTTTCGGGTGATTCTAATGCAAGGAATTCGCAGGCCATTCTTGAGGAACATACGCTAGACTGCTCTGGAAAGTAAACATCGGAAAGGAATGGGAACGAATGCTCTGGTATCTATTTAGCAAGTCAGAACAAATCACCATGCACGCTTCCTCTCCTGCTGTCGCACAGCTACATTTCTAGCTCCAACTGGCAGAGCATGGGTGTTTTACTTCAACCCCAGATTTTCCCGAAAGGGTAATGTAGACCATCTTGCACAAAAGACGATGGAGGTGGTTTGGTTCTCTTTTTAAATGTATGTTTCCTGTAAATATTTCACAAGGAGAAAGCGCCAAGGACCCTAAGAAACTATTCTGAAAATGAAAATTTTTCTCTCTGGTTTCATAGTAGCCTGACAGATGGACAGCTACCGCTTTGTTTTGGAAGAACTGCACTGGGATTTTTTCTCTCTTTCCCTCTCTTTTATTTTTATGTGCGATAGAAGGAATGATTATTCCATGTAATCAAGAGTTCTCAAATCTTTGTTAAAGGAAATAAAATTCATCGAGGGATCTTAGTATATCTTCCAAATCTAGTCGTGCATGAGAATGGACCTCAGGATTTGAGGCTGTTCCTTCTAAATATCAAATTAAGTTTCCAAACCAACAATTATGTAGCTATTCTCTCATTTCATATGACCTGTGGAGGGGAAAAATGGAATAGGTAAGGACTGGTGGAGGGAATTTTAAGGAAATTTAAAAATATGAGATTAGTATCTATTTCCTTTGTTTCAGTTAAAACTGGTCATTTCAAGAAATTGATTGGCTTATGTATTCTTATTAATGTTTTGTATAACGTGATGATTACTAAGGAGCCAAAAGGGCCCAATTATGAGAATTCTAGGATTTTACTATTTATTTATTTGTTAATATTTGACTGCTAAAATCCTATTCATCCTTCTATGCTCAGCTCAAGTGATACCACCTCTGGGAAGTCCTTTTACTCCTCTCAACTGTGTACTTCTTGGAGCTTCTGCCCTGGTAAGCATTTGTGTTAACTTTATTACAGTCCTTATCACAATGTTCCATTGTGGTTTCTTTTTTCTTTTCTACTTGTGAGTAATACTGTATTTAGTCATTTTTGTTTACAACGGGAACTCTGAGAATTCAAAATTAACATACTTGTGAGCTTCTTATAAACATCAGAAAATGTTTCAACCTTGTGTTCCATATTATTCTGCAGTGCTTTATCCAAATGAACTTTTATAAGCTGGCTGCCATCCAGTTTCACCAGGATTCTCGTGCAGCTCCTGGGATGCTTTTGCTTATTTCTTTGGAGGCTTTTTTGAGTTGACTTAAGCAACTCTGAGCAACAAAGACAACGTGCTTTCCACTGAACTTTTTTTTTTCTTTTTTCCAATTCATGCACTAGCCAAGACTTGGATTTTTCTGGAAAGATTTCAGTTCAGTAATGGGAACAAAGATTATAATAGCTTTCCAACCACCACTACAATTTCTTTGGCAGCCATTATAATCAGCTTCCTTAGCTGGGCCTTGAGGTGGGAGTTCATTTCCAGCTCAAGGAGAGCCTGGGAGATGCCAGACTCCAACTTGCCTGGCTTCTTGCCATTGAGCTTCCCAATCTTTGGGCTTGAACTGAACATGGCTTTCTCTTTGGTGTGTGCCAACCTAGCCAATGTAGTTTATTTGCTTAGCAAACTTAGGAAACTAGGAGTATATGAAAAGCCTCAATTTTATTGTAGTTTGGCATTCCTTGTGCTGAGCACAGTGCCTGGCATATAACAGGTTTCTAACTAGTTAAGGCTAATCTGAGAAGAATTATTTGTTGACCTCTGTAACAGTGTGTGTATGTGATCCTTTGAATTTCAAACTGCTATGTTTGGAGGACATAATTTATAATTTTCCAAAGTACAGATGGATGTGATGTGATTTCAAAAATACATATGTGATTTTCTATGTTAGTGTCCATATCTGTAAAATGGAGAAGTGCTTACTTATAGGTAGTTGAGAACATCACTTATTAGCTATGTGATTATGGGTAAAAGATCTAAGCTTTTTTATTTTTATTTAAAAAAAAATCCTCACCCATGCCGGGCTGGTGAGGCTCAGTGGTTGAGCATCAGAACTATGATCCAGGAGATCCGGGTTTGATTCCCGGTCAGGGCACATGCCCGGGTTGCAGAATCTATTCCCAGCGGGGGGAGTGCAGGACGAAGCTGATCAATGANCCGGGTTGCAGAATCTATTCCCAGCGGGGGGAGTGCAGGACGAAGCTGATTAATGACTCTCTCTCATCATTGAAGTTTCTCTCTCTCTCTCTTCCTCTCCCTTCCATTCTCTGAAATAAAGATATATTAAAAAAAAATCCTCACTCAAGGATATGTTTCCATTGATTTTAGAGAGAGAGAGAGAAAAGGAGAGGGTGACAGAGAGAAACTTCTATATGATGTAAGCTTTTAAATCCCATTCCTTCATCTTTAAATTTGAATTATTGTGAGGATTAAGTGTGTATAAACTGCACAGCATAGTGCCTGCTAATAATAAGCACTGAATGACAGTTATTAGTAATGAAATGAAATATCAACAATGATTTATATTAATAAATGACTTATTAACAATGAAGTATTTTGTAAGGAGGTGCTGTAAAGTGTTATTAAACGTAAGGTTTTGCCATTATTGTTGCTATTATTATTATTATGAGCTAGAATGAGCCATGAATAAATTGATACTGATCCTAGTATAAGAACAATAAATTAATGAATCAATAAAGGAATTCCACAGGTATTCCAATATTTGGATGGGCTATTAATCGTAGTGTATATTATTATTATACAGTACATTATTACCGTGCTAATACTAAAACCTGGACTACAAGTCCCATCATCCTATACGCCCTCACACAATGGCGGGGGGGGGGGA